TATCTATCTATCTATCTATCTATCTATCTATCTATCTATCTATCTATCTATCTATCTATCATCTATCTATCGATCAACACCTGACCACTGAATACGGCATACGGCACAGAATATTTTAATGGGAAAGGTACTTTTTCTTACCAAAAAAAGAGGAAAAAATGGAAATATTGTTTGTTTAGAATTCACACAAGAAAAATAATTTAAAAGCAGAAACTTCTGAACAAAATTCTTAAAGAAAAAAAAGCTCCAGGCACTGTGGAGATCTACAAATAACCCTCAATGAAGAAATGCAAAAACAGTCCCACAAATGGCCTGTGGGGCATACAGGAAAGATTTCAGCAAACACTTTGCAGAATCAAATGAGCAAACCAACAATAATACAAATATGACTCAACATACACTCCAGAGCTGCCATTCCAGTAATCAGTTAAACAGAAATGTTGCACAATGATTCAGAACCATGGCTGTATTTAACAAACCACATGGCTATCTTTCTAGCAATTCCCAAAGCTAGCAATGTAACCCTAATTCTCTACTTGTATTTATTTATTTCTTTTCAAAGCAAATCTCTTTAAATAATAGGTGTTGGTGAACCAGCTCATCTCTGAATTTCAGCTATATAGTAATTTCACAGAAAGAGAGAAAAATAGTCTTTTAAATACATTTTGTGTAAATGTATTAAATAAAAAAACAATATTCAGAGAGCTTTGTTAAGTGCATAAGGCATAAAGTGTACTAAGTGATACTGCATAGATATATCCATGGAGTTTTCTTGGTACCAGTAAAAAGATAACTGTCAAGATAATTTTCTTCAACATCCCAATCCACCTTACAACCTTGCAATTTCCAAAAAGTTTCTTTTTTCAAATATTAAACAGACCTGAGCCTACTTAGCATTTGAACTTAGCTACGATCAGCCAGGTGTTACTACTATCTGCCAGGATAATATTTTTCCTTTTTGTCTTGTATAATTTTTGTGAGCTGTCAGAAGAGCAAGTGTTGCATACAAAACAAAGAATGGCAAGCAATAAGGCTTTTAAAGACAGCCTTTGGATTTTGACCGCAGCTTGGCATTTACCTTTTGTGTAATAGCTACACTCTGAACCAATATTTTCATTAAACTATCCATTACAACTCAAAATCCTTTTCATGGCCACTCATTAACTATCCAAATCTTAGGAGCATCTATACATATATGACCTATATCTGCTTTCTCAAGGTCTGGCCTTTTAATTTATTATTTACTATTAGTACATTAAATTTATTACAGCCACTCACTCCAGCACACTCAAGAGAATTTAGGCAGATTAATTTGAATTTTTTTTGCTGTCATTTCATTTGTTTTGTTTTGACCATCAATTGAGGATCAGTTAGGTGATTAGATAACATATGAGCTACTAAGCAGCTCTGGTTTCCAATGCTGGACTTGGTCCGCCTTTGTATTTTTCTTCTAGTTTGTAAGATGATTTCTATCCTTCACTCTCATCTGATCTGCTTAAACAGCAAACCTCTTTAAAGGTATACATTGTAAAATCTAATTTCAGCCACTCTAGCATCATCATAATTCTTCTCCTGACAAGAAGCTTACTTTCATGGCTGAGCTCTTTAGTGGCAGTTGCAAAAGGCAAAGAGGCAGCTTGGGGAATTGCATCATAATTGCCCACAGGACTTACTAGTACAGGGGTTCCCAGCCTGGGGTGCTCCCTCCCGCTGGGGGTGTGAGACGATATTCCAGGGGGTACTAAAATGTGGGCTTAGAAGTTTCAAAATTATAGTGTATGTGCATAATTATATGCATATAGTTACTTATTTTTGTAAGTGGTGCGAGAATATATCAGAAGCATTCTAGGGGTCCAGTAGGTATAGAAAAGGTTGGGAACCCCTGTATTAGTAGAAGAGTTTGAAGCAGCATTGCAATTTAAAGATAAGACAACAAAACAAAAAAAATAGTAAGAAAACTTGGAGGAATGTGCATCCATAAACAGCTCAGTGAAATGCACAATACGGTCTAACATTATGGACTTCTTGTCTATCTCTGAAGAAAAGAAATAGATCTTGCTAAGTTGCAAGATGATACACAGGTAAGCAATAATTCAGTAGCTACCGTAGAAACTGCAAAATTTACACACAACACCCTCCCTCCACAGTTTCTCTCTGACAGTGGGGAATTTGTCTAAAACATTTGAATTACATTCTCAATGGTGATGCCAAATGCAGGTAAACTTTAAACCTAGCAATTCAGACGTAACCAAGGTCTGATTAAAAGACAGAGATGAGCTTGAAAAGAGCCAGGCAGTGACAAATACGGGTATCAAAACAGAAGATTTTTCTCAGCATCAAATAAGTGCTCATAGAGAGATAAGAGTCCGAAATATGATAAGACTATGTGGGAATCTTAAATATCCATTGACTCTCCAGACCCCTGATATATTTCAATTCCAGTGTCTAGGGGAGTATTGGGCATTTAACAATAAACTTGCTGATAAAAGAAAAAGTTATTATTCAGAGAAAAAGTACAGTTACAAATTAATAGAGCTGAATAGTAAGATTTGTCAGATTAAAAGTTTCCAGCTGTGGTTCTACTATGAGAATTCACTTTCCCCTGTATCTATGTACCAACCCAACCTTCATCAAAGACAAGTCAGAGATCAAAGGCTCTGAAGCTTTACCAAAATTTAATTTTACATTACAGAAACAAGGTATCCAATTGAATGTGGTGAATGAATATAGCAAGCAACTCTGTTCTAAGACTTTGATACAGTCTACCATTGGAATTAGTTATACTTTTCTGAATCTAATTCATTTTACCCCCAATGAAAAATGTCCAATTTCCTAAAGGCATATCCTATGTACTTTCAGTGGGGAAAGGCTGCCAGAATGCCAATAATTCTAGTGGGAAGAAAAATGGTATAATAGCTTTAGCCAATACTACCTTGCTACCTATTTCCATTGAACACAAAAATATAAGTCAGGCCTTTGTACTGTAGAGCCAACTTCCTCCACAGATGACTTTATCTGGAGAAAGCAGGTTTAATTCTCTTTTCAATTAGAATTACTCAACAAGATATCTGAAGAACAGACCAAGAGGAACCTTTGCAACTGAGTCATAGATGAGTAGATATTATGGGGTCCTTGTTTGATACAATAACAGATAACAGATAATCAGAGTTGGAAGGGACCTTGTAGGTCATCTAGTCCAACACCTTGCCCAAGCGAGAGACCCTACACCATTTCTGGCAAATGGCAGTCCAATCTCTTCTTGAAAGTCTCAAGTGATGGCGCTCCCACAACTTCCAAGGGCAAACTGTTCCATTGGTTGATTGTTCTCACTGTCAGAAAGTTTATCCTTATTTCCAGGTTAAATCTCTCCTTGTTCAGTTTCCATCCATTATTCCTTGTCTGGCCTACAGGCACTTTAGAAAATAGCTTGATCCCTTCCTCCCTTTGGTAGCCCCTCAAATATTAGAAGACCTCTATCATGTCTCCCCTGGTCCTTCTCTTTACTAGACTAGCCAAGCCCAGTTCCTGCAACCCGTTCATTATACGTTTTAGCCTCCAGTCCCCTAATCATCCTGACTGCTCTTCTCTGTACTTTTTCTAGAGTCTCAACATCTTTTTTATAATGTGGTGAACAAAACTGGATGCAGTACTCTAGGTGTGGTCTTACTAAGGCTTTATAGAGTGGTATTAGTACTTTCCTTGATCTTGATTGTATCCCTCTGTTAATGCAATTTAGGATTGCATTAGCTTTTTTGGCTGCTGCTGCACACTGCTGGCTCATATTTAGCTGGTTGTCCAATAAGACACCATGATCCCTCTCACAGTTACTGCTTATTGAGCCTGGTTTCCCCCAGTCTGTATGTACTTTTGGTTTTTCTTGCCTAAGTGTAAGACTTTACTTTTCTCTACATTGAATTTCATTTTGTTAGATACGGCCAGTGTTCTAGTCTGTCAAGATCCATCTGGATCTTCTTGGGTGTTAGCTATTCCTGCCAGCTTAGGAGCATCTGCAGATTTGGGAAGTTCCCCTTCTATTCCTTCATCTAAGTCGTTAATGAAGATATTGAAGAGTACTGGGCCTAAGACGGAACCTTGTGGCACCCCATTGCTTACTTCCCTCCATGTAGACTTAGACCCATTTAAGGACTATTCATTGAGTATGGTTTGCCAGCCAGTTGTGAGTCCATCTAGTGGTGGTGCTACCTATTCCACTTTTTTCTAGCTTACTAAGAAGTAGGTCTCCTTTGTCGAATGCTTTGCTGAAATCAAAAACCCCAAAGGAAAAAAAAAGATCAAAACATCTTCTCACCACAATCAACACCCATACGAGCAGAGATTAACAGAAAGATTAATACAAGACCAAAAAACAACCAGTGTACAATAGCCCAGTCAAGGAACTACCAACAAGCTAACGGCAAACAACGGCAAACAAAATCAAGAAACCACCAAGGACACTCACACCAACCAACCCTTCAGGGGCAAACCACTAGTAGTTATTTAAAAATAAGAGCAAAGCTCACTCCCTTCTAGCACTAATGATATTTACCTAGCTGAATAAAGAAATGTCTGTGAGAAAACCACCAAGCTCAGAAAATAAGAACAGTTCAACCCTCAACTACAAATATTCTATGAGTAGATGTTGCCCTCCAATAACTTTGAAGCTCAACATTGTCCTTTCTCTTCCAGATAAGCAGTTAAAACAGGGGATAACCAGAGAAGAAAGGATGCAGTAAAAAGGACTATGGGAAGCTGTTCTTTCCCATAGTTTTGAAAAATATATACTAAAAAAGGACTAAAAAAGAAGTGGCCTCCTCGGAATCAGCAATATTACATTCAGATGGAAAGTTCACCCACACCCATTCTTTCCTGCTCTTAACTCAATCTTCAGTCGAGCTCTGGAGAAATAAAAAATAAAATGTGGAATGTCTAGTGAAATAATTTTCTTCACAGCTGCTCGAGGACAGGCAGAACAAGACAATACGATTAATTCTCCATTCAACCTACTGTTCTTTTTCAGGCTATATGGCTGACCAATGTCACAAGGCTATTTGGAGTAATCCTTGCTAACTTATGAAATCCAGTGATTATTAGATTTAACCATCCACAGGATGCCCCTCCAATCTGTTTAAACACATTGTACAAGTATGGCCCTGTCACCACTGTCCAAATGTTCAAAAGCAAACTGAAGATGAGCTGGGATCATTTCCATTGTTGCAAACCTGAACCAATAATTTGTTTCCTGAAGCTGAGTGGAAGGTTGAAGGACCAACAGCTCAGTCAGTGCCTTGCTTTACCATTACATTATTTATTTGTCTAAATTTCTTGAAATATAAACCTTCAAATATTTAGGGAGTTGAAAAATATATCTACAATTAATTCCAAATACTGTAGGTGACCATGATAATTCAGCTTTGCCCATTAATTCCTGTAATGAGTTATCCTTGATCTTTGTTTATACAATTAATTGCTGATGATAGATGGCTGGAGAATAAATAAGATCAATGCTAATCTAACTAATCTTTTGAACACCTGTTTAAACTACAAATCTACAAAGGATACATTTGGGATTTCCTGAAGCAATCCTTCTGTGTTTTTAAAAACATACATTTTAGTAAATACCAAATAGACTTTTCAAAAGCCAGATTAAATGTGTATAGCCATCAAATGTGTAATGTGTAAAGCCATCAAATATAGTATATGTTAGATTTTTTAAAAAATCCTATTTTGCAAAAGATTTTTTGGCAGCGATCCAGAAATGATGGATCACATTTTATTGTATTATGAATTTTACAACCATCTTCGGTAGGAGGTTATTTGGCCTATTTTAAAATCTAAATCAGGAGATTACCAATAGATACTTCTAAGTATGTACACATTTTACTTGTAGATAAAAATCCTAAGATTACATTGGTAACGGTCAGGTTTTTTACTAATAGGTTTAAAAAGAAGGCTTTTAGTAACAAATCAGTGAGCTAGGGTTTTACATATATAATGTTTATTAAATATGTTACTTCTTAAACTGTCTTATCAAATGCCGTTTAGATTATGTTTGTAACCTGTTTTGGGGCCTTTGGGTTATAAATAAAATTATTTGTTGGTATTCTATGCATTTGCCCAATGAATTATGAAAAGAGTTACAAAGCCACCAAGGCTCTCAGTTGCAGCCAGACTACAGAAATTATAGTGTCAGGGTAAAGCCCCAGCAATTCAATCTCTATGGCCCTGTTTCTCAATCTTGAGAACTTGGCTGGCTTGAGAATTCTGGAAGTCCACACATTTTAAAAAGCACTTAGCAATAGCACTTAGACTTATATACCTCTTCACAATGCTTTTACAGCCCTCTCTAAGTGGTTTACAGAGTCAGCCTATTGCCCCCAACAATCTGGGTCCTCATTTTACCAACATCGGAAGGATAGAAGGATGAGTCAACCTTGAACCTGGTGAGATTCCATCTGCCAAATTGCAGGCAGCCAGCAGTCAGCAGAAATAGCCTGCAGTACTGCATTCTAACCACTGCACCACCCTGGCATTAAAGTTCCTAAGGTAGAGAAATATTTATGTGGTGAGAGGAGAATGACTTGAGCCTCAGGACTAGGATGGGGCAAATTCCCACCAACAGGAAAATGACTATAAACTATGTAGAGCTTTAGCACTGCAAATGAGAAGAATGTACCACAGCTGGGAAACCATCTTTTATACCCTCATCTGTGTTTGACTTGGCTATTTCTGAATCAGTGTGAAGACCTTGTATAAAAGTGTTCCAAGTCCACTACTAAGTAGGAATAGTACTGTTCTATCTGCCTGGCAATGCACTGAAAAAAAATGACTGAAATTTAGTCACATGGTTTTGGTTGCCATCTTGTGTTAATTTATCCTTCCCCGAGGATACATCTGCTCATTCCAGAAAATGGGCAAGACAATAAATTACCTGGTGTCTCTGCAGTAGGATAGGGATTTTTCTCTTCATTTTCATTTGGCTGATATTCATCTGTGTTACTCTGGCCAAAAGAGAAAACAGCCATTGTTTAGTTGTGCATACTTAATAATTCATAAAAACAGTCAACAGTCATCTCAAAGCAAGGTGGACAGTGGAAAGCAGCAAACCTTATCAGAAAGTGGAGATTCTCCATCAGCTGTAATTGATTTCAGCTCAATTTTTTCCTCCTTAGTCTCTCCCTCCATAGCTGGCTTCTCAGGCTCCTGTTTCTTCTCAGGACTGGCAGTCCTATCAACATACAAAATCATCTAATGAGTTGCCAATATTGACTTCCTTGAGTAGCGGATAGCCCAATCTACAAGCCTAATATTTCCTTACCTTCATAAACATTTGCTCCTCTCAGAAACAAGTAATACTAATAATCATGTGCCTACCAGACTTTCAAAAATTTTTGCATCCTGAAATAATCTAGCAAGTTAATAGAAGGAAAGTTGTCATTCACTTTCCAACCACAGTGGACCTAATTCAATGATGGGTTGAACCACTGTGAACCAAAATGTCCACAATTTGGAAAATGTCTGACTTGTTTCTGCTGGTATGTCACTCACTCACTCATTCACTCACCCCAAAGAAAAGATGGACAATTCTTTCTCTCCCCTCCCCCAAAACCTAGGCCATATTGAACACTCAGCAGCAGCGCCAAAGCAGGGCCTGAAGTTGAGGCCTGGGCCTGGACCTCAGTCTTAGTGCCACCACTGCCACTCTGTATTAGAGAATGGCGCAATTTCACTTGTGGCCCAGCACTCCCCATGATCTGCCATGTACCGTTTAGGAGTATGGCTCTCTTCTGTAACTTCCAAGGCCATGCAAGAGCACACACCCCATTCTCACACAGCCTCCACAGCCTCTAAAAAATCACCCAAGAACGAGTGTGCTTTGGAGAATAGGTCTCTTGCATGGGTAAGCACTAGCATTTCATCCAAAACATTGTGGCATGTCACTTTGACATACATGTCATAGTTTGCCATCACTTGTCCTAACAGTTATACTTTGTTTGGAAGCTACTTCTTTCCCCAATTATTTGTAGAGGATCTTCAGCCTGCAGTGAAAATCACTTTTTCCTCTATTAAAAAAAATAAATTATTTTAGGTTTCAAGCTAATGCTTCAAGCTGTGCAAAAGTGACTTAAAGTTTCAACAGACATCCAGGATATGTAGATATGTCACCTTTTCTCATCTTTATTTATCAAGCCGAAAGAGCTCCCATGTATTGACATTGAAAGATGAGGTGCTTGAGCAGGCACTTTGCAATTTGTATTGCTGGTTTCTGGAATAAACTGAATAAACTCTCATCCTTCACTCCAGCTCCTGCTGGGGACATGACAGGATCTCCCAACTAGGCATCCCCCAGGTAACGGTGATGTCACTAATCCTTTCAACGGTGATAGCTAATCCTTTCAGCCAGGAAGTTTCTTGGTGCTTCTGACACAAGTGCAAAAAAACTTAGCTAAAAATATTGTACTTAACAAGGCATAAGAAGCTCTTGTTCTGGACATGTTTTCACTCTCTAGGAAAAAAATGCCAACTTTTTAAATGCCAAAATAGACAAAAGTTTACCTTGCTAGTTTTTTCCTTTCTTTTTCCTCCTCCTCCTCCTTTTGAGCAGATGTCAAGCTTTCGGCATCAGCAAGATTGTCAACAGCAATGGCCAAGAAGACATTCAGCAGGATATCTATTTGTATATTCTTTAAAGAAAATATCGGCAAATATCTATGAAGCACAATCCTGTGAAATGGTGAATGAATGAACCCCATGTGATATGCATCATGAAGATAAACCTTCAAATTAATATTAATAGTTTTAAGGGTAAACTATTTCATATATTTCACCAAGAATAACAGACACAGCAATGTTTCCCAATGCATTGGTGAGGCCACATAAAAAATGTTCATCAAAAGTAAATGTTTAAGTTAACATCCTTAGATTCAAATTACCACACATGATGTTTACACAACTGAAAAAAGAGATGACATTTAGCTAACTTCAGATGGTCAGAACTTGGAATATACCTTATCTACAGTATTACATACATACATTAGGTCCTGTGCAGAACATATTGGGTAGTATGTGATTTCCATCAGTTTTGATCATTTGTAGCATCTTCGGCTTTGTCCCAAAAGATATTAATAATCTTAAGATCTTTCTTTAGTGTCTGGTGCCAAGTTTTCCAAGCCTGGCCTTGTTTCCTCTTCCCTCCAGGAGGTAGCCAATATAATGCAATTTTGGGATGCCAGTCTTTAGGCATAAGTAATATATGGCCAACAAATCACATTCGATGTTCATTGACAGTTCTCAATAAGTGTTCTAAATCTGATAATTTTACTACCTTCTCATAAGTGATGTGGTCACAATGTGAGATGTGGAGCATTCTTTTCAAGCAGTGTTAACTTTAATTGACTTCCATGTTTCACAAGCATATATTGTAGTTGATATGACAACACTCTTTTATCTTTGTGGCTGCCGTAAACCAAATTGGACGCATACCTTGAAACATGGCTGCTGCCATTCCAATTTGATAGTTAACGTCCTTACTCCATCAATAGACATAATGCTATTAAGATAAATAAATTGTTGGACTTATTCTACAACCTGTCCATGGACTGTTATAGGCACATTACCCTGAGCACTTCCGACTTGCATAAACTTGGTCTTCTTAAAATTTATACATAATCTTGTTGGCTTCATTATCTAAACTGATGGTCATTTCTTCCAAGCACCCCTTTTTTCACCAAGCAATGGGATGTCATCCGGAAAATCTAAAACTGTTAAATGAGGTGTCAAAGCTAGGGTTATCCATTGCTCTATGCATAACAAAGTCCATGAAGAGGAGAAACAAGACTGGTGATAGTATATATCTGTCTGTGTTGTCAGATTCCATTCAAACATAGCAGCTAGAGTTATCATACAGGCTCTTAAAGATGTTGAAAAAACATTGAGGAATACAATAGGACTTTACAATAGTCCACAGTGATTATGAATAGAGCCTTTTGAAAACAATAAATTCATTATATAAAAATGTAGTCAAAATGTGGCCCTTCCATAATACTGTGAGCAGAATTAAGATACGGCCAGTTCCTGTTTAGAATTGCCCGTGTTTCGTTGGATCCTCTAAGGCAGAATTGTCTGCCTTTCCCTTATTAAAAACATAAAAACCTTTCTTTGATGAAGGGATAGACAACTGTTCATGGTAGAAGCCGTTTTGCTAGGAACAAACCTGCAGGTCTGAAAGTTATCCAAGGAACTTTTGCTCTTCTTTTGACTTTCTATCCATTTTCCCACTTGAAGAAGAACAAACCAGGAAACCAACCCTTTCCATTCTGAGATGGATTCATGTTGAAATCCAACAGAAAGTGGCTCTTTTTCTTTCTCCTTGCTTAACATTGCTGTTTTTAATTCCATGATCCAGAAGGTTGAGCTAGCAGGAGATGGCAGAAAGGAAGAAGAGCAGTAGGATGCAGTCTCAGTAAGTACAGACCATTTTATCATATATGTGTCCCAGGTGGTGCTTAACCATATCAATTGCTGATGCTGCTCTATCGTTAATTCAAACTATATTCATACTATTGCAACAGAGAAGCACTCAAGGATACAGTTTCCACAGATGAAGAGGATGATGAAGTAAATACAGACCAACATTCCTGGAAAAGAGGGGCCGCCATAAGCCATGATTCCATCATACATCACCGAATTCCAGTCCTCCCCAGTCAGGATCTAAATGACACATTCCCACCAATAGCGGGGTACATAGTTAGACAGCATGCGGAACACCTGCAAAAAAGCCTGTTACAAGAAATAATACCACCCTGTTCTATTTTGAAGAAGCCTACCTGATCAGTAAACTACTGACTCACATCTCCATTCAAATTTCAAGATACAAATGGAAATATGTTCTGCACATGGGTAGGGTTACATATCCACCACTCAGGCTGCAGAGTAGAATCTTAGTCTATATACACCTGAAGGACTTCATAGACTATCCAGTTCACTCCTTTGCTTCACCCATAAACTGAACTACAGATTATAGTCATCCAACTTCCACTGGAAAATCTCAAACAAGGGAGATCTGGCACAATACTAGACAGTTTAGCATCTCTCACAGTTAGGAAATGATGCCTGATATTCAGCATGGCTCTCCTTTCCTTTAATTTTAGTCAGTGAAGAGTGCAATGGGACTAATACCTCCCATGATCTAGGTACAATGTGTCTGTTATTTCAGTCTCCGAAGCACTGATTTTCTGTTTTTTGTTGTGCTGCTGTCTCATACCGTGTCTTTATTCTGATCTACTGTAACCTCTAGATCTTTCTTATAAATAACTGCTGCCAGCATAGATGTCCCTAATCTTGTACATATACATTCAATATTTCCTATTAAGATTCCTATTCAGCCCATCTTGCTCTGTTTTGGGAAACGTTGCAACATTTTTTTTAAATAAATGTCCTAGTGATTAATGAATTTATTTTTGAAAGTGTTTAGTTCCATATAGATTGGTATAAACATAATAATCCTGTTACATTACAATGTAAGAGTGCATTATACGTAGACTGTCTACTATTGACCTCACCCCTTTCCTAAGAGGTCTGTAGGGGGGCGTGCATAAGCGCACCAACGTGTCTACGGTCCTTGTCCTGTTGTTTCTTATATGTACCCATTTCATGTATTCATAACTATGTATATACTTATACCTATTATCTTGTAAGCGATTGACAAATCAAAATAAAAAATAAAAAAAAATTTTTTTTAAAAAAAAGACTGAAAGAAAACTATACCTGAAACACAGTGAGCAATGACTGTGGAAAGTTGTCAAAGGTGCTTCTCCTGGTCTGCATCTCATCAAAGTTAAACTTGCCCCCAAAGAGCTGCATCCCTAGGAGGGAGAAGATGATGATGAAGAGGAAGAGGAGCAGCAGCAGGGAGGCAATGGAGCGCACTGAGTTGAGCAAGGAAGCCACCAAATTACTCAAGGAATTCCAGTACCTGGGGAGCCAAATAAAAGAAAAGCAGGTGTTTCTTGTCTGTGTTAGGTATTTCTTTGGGGAAAGCTGCCCGACACCCACGCACATGTCTTTTCCAAAGAATGAACTAAGAAATGAGTAATTCAGATAGTCCTCTAAGAAAATGAGATATACAGTAGTAAGCTAGAATTTCACAATCACAGAAATAAAACACAAAAGTTCTCCCCAATTTTTGCACCTTGAACACTTAGGGCATATGTCAATTTGCAATAATTTGTAAGAATTTCCAAGGAAGAAATAGCAGACTGAGAACATTTCTATAAAAAGTGGAATTGAAGACTGCGGCAGAATGCAGAGCCAGAGAATAGACTGTCTCTTTGAAAATTCCTCTTTGGATAAGGAGAGGACTTGAGATTGCACACAAGTGCTTCAGATAGCTTCTCCTTGTCAGACTACAAGATAACAGTCTCCAGCAACTGCAGAGCTCTGGAAGATGAGGTAATCTCATCCAGAACAAGTGATAGAGAATCTATGGACCTAGATCCCAAACTATTATGCCTCCACAAATGCCAGTCATCAAGACAGAATCTCATGTCACTTGGATAATCCAGGGTGTTTAATGACCTCACCCTGCAGCTTCACATATATATTAAATCAGAGTGGGGAGAGTGTTGAACCCCCTATCACTCCATAAAGCAAAGGGCCATGGATAAGACTTCTCCTCCACCCATCAACTCTGCCTGGAACTATTCCTAAAGGAAAGAATAGAACCAATGTAAAATAGAGCTGCCCATTCCTAACCTTTGACTGAATCCAGAAGGATTTCATGATCAACCGTGTTGACAGCTGTCAGACCTTCAAAGCAGGTCAATTAGGAAACCAAAGTAATGCATTCTAATAGTACTTTTATTATAAGATTATTTATTTATCTAATTCATATGCTACTCATATCACGGTTAAGTGACTTATAGTAACAGAATCTGAAGCCTGAATGTGCTTCTTCCCTTATCTTCATGACAATTTGGTAGGGTCTTGTCTGAGAGGCTTACTCAGATTATAGTTCTGGCCTAGATTCAGGTTTTTTTAATTAGACTCTTGCCTTGGTTGCAGCTTTTCTTCCTTTTACTCAACATTATTACTCTTTCCTTTACAAAAGTTAGGGGAGCAAGCATGGATACATTACCCCATCTCACTCCTGTCAAATGTCATCCACTAATGCGAAAATGCTGTTTCAATTCTATGTCAAAGCCTGAAACATGATTGGAAGTGGTCCTGTTAATTAGCCTCACCCAGAGTTCTTTGGAGTTGCTGAACAACTATTTTCTCAGTCACCTTCCCTAAAATGTCTCTCAACATAATAGAATTGGGAACTTCATTGCTAATCTGGCCAGACAATCAAGGAAATCAAGAAGGAAGGTTGACATGCAATAGGGAAGCTGATATAATTCCAACAGCCCCAACTGACTCTTAGAGCTGAAACTAATAGGTTATCTTATCTGTCTGTGGACCAGTGGTCTGGATGCCAACAGAGAAACTTGGGTGACATAGCCACCCCTCACCCAACCTGGGTTCTTGATTGATGCCACACCTAAAACCCAAGTGGGCTCATCTCCAAGAGTGGAACACTCCCCTCTAGGCCCAATCAAATCTTAGTGATATATACCAGGCCAGTCTTCAGTGATCAGCTCACAGATGAAGGAGGCCTTACTACAGATTTTGCTTTGAGAGATTACCAAAGTATACACTTTCACAAAGAAAACATAATGAGGTAAAGAGGAACATAAAAATTATAGTAAGCCCCCATATACACCCTCTGTGCTGCTAACACTATAATGCAAAACAGTGATTGAAAACATAACTGTACATAACATTGCTAATGGTAGAAACCAGATTTTCCCACACAAATAATTCCCAGTAGTGAGAGGGGGAATTATAATGAAAAGAAAAACTAATTCCATATTTGATCAAACCCAAATAAAAAGACTTAGGTTATTATAACTCAGCCCTTTATAAAACCTCTAATATTAAGAGGGTTCTGCCCTTTTCCCTGTTATTGTATTATTTGCTTTCAGTAAGCCAAAAGCTCTTATGTTGAAATTATGTATCTGCCTTTTGCAATCAGCCATTTTACCAATTATGATGATAAAGAAGAAATGCAGAACATTACTTTATGATAACTAAGTCTGCATACTCTAAAACCATTTGTGATCATGTAATTCCCAATGGGTTTTCTATTTTTGCAGCCTGTGATTTACTGGGTTTTAGTTCTATTAGAATCATGGTTTTATTTTCTGTTTTAATGTAGTTGTTTTGTGTGCCACTAGAGACACAGTGTTATACGGCTGCAATATACACACAGTTAATAAATAACCAGGAATAATAGCCTTCATTTCAATTATGCCACCCAGAATAGTTTGTTTGGCGAGATGGGTGGCTATATAAATTGGACAAATAAATAAATAAAATAAAAATAAAGGCCTCCAGATGTGGAGGAGAAAGAATACACATTTGCAAAGAAGGAGAAAGAGGAGATAGAGGACATGTTATCTTGTGGTCTTTTTTGCTTTTGTTTTTCGATGTATGATCTAAATTCAGGAATTCTATGGGGCAATTGAGACCATCTATAGCCTAACAAGATCACTGAGTGACTAGGTAGTTTGTTTGTTTGAGGCAATTCTGGTCCTATGTCAGCCCATCATGGTAATGTAGACTAAGAAACCAGTGTCATGTAGGTCCAAAATAACTATAGTAAAAGAACCATGGAAGTATGACTGTACTTCTACCTCCTTCCTTTTATTTTTGTGTGAAGTAGGGAGCAGATTGTCTAAATTATTTTCTTGGCCCAAACTCAAGACCCTCTGATTGTTGACTTGGTAGTGGAAATTCTCCCTATTTTTCAAGGCCACAACTTTAAAAAGAAGAGACCTGGAGTGTGCCCATTCTGTTGAACCTTGTGGGACATACCCAAATAACTGGGGACAGTAAGTTCCAAGTTCCAAGCAACATGATTTTTTTTTTTGCAAAGTCAATAGTATAAAATCTGATAAATTTAAAATTTTCTAAATATTTGATTAATCCTCTTATTACCTCCAAGAGTTCAAATTACTATGGGTATTATATCTAACACTTTCTTCTAAAGTCGTTTAAAAATAAAGGTCAATGACTACTTCAGCTTCAACTGCAACAATCCAAGAGCACATAACAGATACAAACACAATGTAAACCACTCCAAACTTGATTGCAGAAAATATGACTTCAGCAACAGAGTGGTCAATGCCTGGAATGAACTACCTAATTCTGTTGTTACATCCTCTAACCCCCACTCATTTAACCTTAAACTATCCACTACTGACCTCACCCCATTCCTAAGAGGTCTGTAAGGGGTGTGCAAAAGTGCACCATGGTGCCTCCCGTCCCTGTCCTATTGTCCCCATTTATTCATACCTATTCCCTGTGTTCATACTCATGTTTATTCTTATATCTATTATCTTGTAAGTGATTGACAAATCAAATCAATAAATAATTGAGGACTGATCATAAAATTATCTTTTCTGTGTCATAGTAGTTTCAAACAGGAATTAAGCACAGCGGTTGTTAAACAAGGACCATCTGTACGCTTCAGAAGCCCTTGTGCATGGACCCTGATCAACTGAAGCCTTTCAAGTCTTGCCAAATGTCCTTCCAAACAGGACTCTATTATTATTATTAACAAAATTTATATAGCAACCCATCTCACAAACATGACTCTGAACGGTGTACAATAAAATAAACAAGTAAAACCAAGTCTAAATAATAATAGAACGATTACAAATAAATACAAATAAGGTCATGGGAGAATGGATTAACATCCTGTAATTAACTCATAAGTTCCCTGTTTCTAGAGGATCAATGTAATTAACTCATAAGTTCCCTGTTTCTAGAGCATCCCCAAAGCTGCTGGAAAAAACATCATTTTAAAGGATTTTTGAAAGGTTGATCAGACTGGGGTAAATCTTTACCTCACAGAGCGATTATTATTATTTATTAAATTTATATGCTGCCCATCTCATCGTCAAGTTATTCTATTCTTGATTTGTCATGTCTATTTATTTTACTTTTCAAACAGTCTTCATTTTATGAAGTTCTTAACGGTTTTACGCCACATTTATACTTGATTGTGGCATCATTTAATGCATTTTAAACCCATATATTTCTTGCCCATTGTCCTGCCCTATCTTATTTACACAGCACCTTACAACACAGTGAAAAAAATAAGTAACAAAAGGACATAAATAATTTAAAATTTGTTGTAGTCATAAAGCAAGAAATGACTTTCAAGGAAAGAATGATTTATACAAAGGAATTATTTGCCTTATTTGTTTGGAATAACATTTCCAAGTAGAAAATGGTGACCTTTCCTTTCCCCCTGTCAATCCCACATAACCATAAAAAAAAAACCCCGTATACCTTGTGATTTTAAAGATTCTCAGAAGTCGTACACATCTCAGCACGGATATGCCAAGTGGGGACATGATTTTTGTTTCCACTAAGATGGTTTCCAGAATTCCACCACACACGATGAAGCAATCAAAGCGGTTGAAGAGGGACACAAAGTAAGCCTGAAGACCCAGGCTGTACATCTTCAGCAGCATCTCAGCCGTGAACAAAGCCAGCAATACCTTATTCGCAGTGTCTCATAAAAAAATAAATAGACAAATAATGATCATTATAATGGCACTGAAAGACTAGTTCAATCAAAAGATGCTAAGAACAAACGTATGAAATGTTAGTTTAAATCAGTGGTGCATTTTAAATATTTTTACCACCGGTTCGGTGGTAAATAATTATCCTGTTACATGGCTTGGTGGGCATGCTTTGTGTGCGCACACACACTTTGTGTATGCGCATGCCAAATGTGCCCTTTGCGCATTAACTCTATACTGTCATGCAAATAAATCATGAAGTAGCATTCCTTAAAGAAGCAATTGTATGCACAAAAGAACGTGGAATATGGGATTGAAAATATTTCTTTTTTATTGTCTTATGCCTAATTATTATTCTTGATGCCTAATAAATAATTGCGAAAAACAATAGAATACCAAATGTTTTGAGAGGATATAAATAATTTCATTTAATTGAAGATTAGAATGGTACAAAATGCAGACATATATTTTATGCACTGATAATTAATTTTGACATTTTGTAATTAATTCTTTCTGGGGCTTAAGCAATCAAATGGTTTTACATCATGTAGACTTATTGCATTCAGTTTATGGTTGCACAATGCCTCTTCTTACCTTGGACTTCAGTGAGCCAGTCTGGTTGGTTGTAATGCTCAGAAGCAATGGCAAGTGTGTTGAGAAACACCAGGAAGATCACAAGCCAATAAAATACATTGGATTTGACAGCAGCTCGACATTTTCGTCTACAGAATCGATTCCATCTACGCCAGTAGCGGCTTGGGAAAAAGGAAACAAAAGAGAAAATCTGACCATGATTGCAGGACATTCTGATCTGCCTCATGACCTCAAGGACTACTTTTTCTCAAGAATGTCTGTGATAAATGAGTTTATAAGAAGAGACAAATAAAAACACATTTGTAATATAGACTCGAAATCACCAACATCCTCTGCACTAGCAAACCACCCAAAAGCAACTTATCCAAAGAAGAACAAACTGCACTACTTAACCTGAAAGAAGACACCAGCATAATAATCCTACCAGCAGACAAGGGCAACGCGACAGTGGTAATGAACACATCTGACTACCAAACCAAGTTAACCAACCTACTCCAAGACCCCACATACAAACCCCTAAAGACAGACCCCACCACCTACCTAGAAAAAACTACCAAATCCAAAATAAAAGCCTCCCCCATCAGTGAAGAAATCCAGCAA